CCCCGCGCCTTTCCAATGGGAACAAACCCCCAAATCACTGATTTTCAGTCAAGTTTTTCCTCACCGATACAATTTTACAAAATACACCTGTGTATATTAAATACAGAGAGTGTTTGCAGCACACAAACCCCAGAGACATGTAACAGAGTCAATGCCTTGGACTTTGAAAATACTTTTGATGCCTGCCAACTTTAAAAACAAACAAACAAACAAAAAAAATAAAGCAAAGGTAGATATGAAAATGAGAAAAATGAATGTTTTTGCATTCTTTTTGTGATCACTGCAAGGCAAGAGTCTGCAACCTTGTGGAACAAAACACACGCATTTCATTCTGATTAACATAAAGACAGCCCCTTCTAACATGATTCACAATTATTAGTCTCTCTCTTGTGTTTGGGGATATATGGATTATCAGCCTAGCATATTTTGAACACATACACATTTTAATTCCTTTCCTAAACCATTTTAGGCACTACAGTTAAATCGCATATATAAAATTTATAGATCAATAATTTGATTTTTTTTTTTCCTCTCTCTCCAGTTAAACAACTAAATGCTGTAGGAGATAAAAGGCAGTCAAAAAACAATAAAAAGACAGGATCACAGCTAATGGAAGGTAAGTCAGATTTGAGAAGCCTCTGTTCTTCTATATTTAAGTTTATTATTATTATTTTTTATATAACAGGCTATTTCATGAGCTTCTGCTGTATCTGATGTACTTACTTATCGCCTCCACAAACTGTTCAAAGAAGCAGTATGGGAACAGCGGCTCAGGCAGCTCTCTGAAAAACATCTTGAGTGCTCCGGTGACAACGTGGATGTCCTCCCACTGGCTGTCGTCCAAATTCAGCTTCTCTTCTGGGAAAACACGAGGAGAAATGGAACAACTGGTTTTAATGAAACAATTACAAGACACTAATTATTATGTTAATGTTTGCCTACTATCATCAGCAACCGTTAACAGCCTTCTGCACCTAGAGGTTTGGTGCTGTGCATGTTGGTTTTTTTTTTCTTTTTTCCTTTTTTTTTTTTTTTTTTGTAGGAAGAGAACATTTTCAATGGAATACCATCTGTAGGAATGCAGCTAACAAAAAAAAAAACCCCAAACAAGAGACACAAAGAGACAGTACCATTGACACAGTATGTCAGATACATTTATTCCCATAATGCATCAGTATGAAAATTAGCATCACAGCTCAACATGATTCAAAGCTATTTGGTTTTGAGGCCGAGGGGCTAAGAGTTGCCAACGATGGTCGGCTCAAGGGACCGGCCTAAAGGCCTTGCTGAGCCAACAGGAGACATATGCTAAACATGGCAATAGAAAATGAGTTATTGCTTTACATGTGTTAGCCTTGCTATGTACAAGGGAATAATGGGGAACGCTTTTCTCCTTTTTTTTTTTCTTTTTTTTTTTCTTTTTTTTTTTTTTTGCCTGAATGTAATGTCAGCAAGGAATAGAGTACTGTGAGAGAAAGGATATTAATTCCTTCTTACTGCTTCAAAAATATTTTGTTTGGTTTTCATCTCTGGGAAGAAGATTTGCCCAGCAACAATATTAGACAGACCCCTGTTGGCCTACCTAGGCTATGCAAAGCTGTCAAAAATGATAACACACTAAAGACAAACCACAAGTGCTTACAAAACTGTTTTGCAAACAACAACAACAAAAAAAATGTTTTCTTTTGAAGCTTGACTGAGCCAAGGAATTTAAATATAAAAGAAACTCAATGCTAAAATAGAGTTTCTAATAAAAATAAAAGAAGATTGGATGATTATTCTATTTTTCTTTGGTTTTGTTTTTTTTTCTTTTTAATTCTAGTAGTGTGATACTGTTAGAACATAATAAACAGAGAGATCGTAATCCATATAAAACTCTAGGAAAGTGCAAATCCTTATTAGTCTAAATTAAAATGACACACACTTTCTCCAAGTTCTGTTACTCCCAAAACAGAGTTTGCTTTGTTTCACATGTGCTACGATTCTCTTTTTTAGAAAATTTCAGTCTGAATGCAAATCAAGGGCCAGCTATGAAAACTACTGAACAAATTTAAATTAAAACAACATAATCCTGAAATGTTTTACTAAATGTCACTGAATTTCCATGTTTAGCAATTCAGCTGGCTTCAAGAGCAGCCTCTTTAGTGAACTGTTGTTAAACAAAATGATAAAATTATTGGAGACACATGGACACACACAACTCCAGATCCCTGGTACTTTAAGGCAATAGTTTTCTCACTACAGAATTTACTTTTGGACAGAAATACTTATTCAAAATGGAGTTGTCTTTCAAATTTTATTTAATAAATGTTGTTAAATGCTTTTTAAATTTCTGGATTTGTGAAATGTATAAAAAAAAAAAAAAAAAGGAATGGACCCAATTCCTCAACTTGAAGTAACGTGAGACAAAGCTGGAACAAAGGCAGACTTGTGCGTTTCATTTAGTTGTCCTGTTTGCTTCTTTGGTTTCAAGCCTCTATTTTTTTATTCTATTTTTTTTTTCTCCCATTGAATTACCTCAATCATAAAAGTAATGATTTGATCTCAAATGAGTTACCAGAGGGGATCTTCTTTAGACTCTGAGATCATATTTGATTGATCGTATTTCAACAATTAGTCTTTTATTTTGCCACACACTATTGAACTAGATCGACAGCATCTTAGCAGGCCAGCTTTAAACAGTCAACTGTTAACAATAGCATCAAAAAGAGAGACCTGATGGGGTTTACTGTCACTTTAAAGAACAGGGTGGGTTTTCACATTGTTGAAATCTGTCAGATATTTTGAAATGTCCCTCTCACTATGGTGCCACACCCCCTGCGTGCCCTTATAATAAAATTGGTTTTACTCCTGATTAAATCATTTTCTCCCTACCCACTACCATACTTCTCATAATGGACCTGTGTGCTCTACAGCTGGTGTTCTTCCCATGGTACCAATTCTTACTTTATCTTTTAAGCACTTTGCTGCTAAGATCTCATGCAGAGTGCTTATGTTTTGTTAAGAGCTTCATTCTTAGAGAAATAGCTTAACACATGTTCTAAAAATGTTGTACAACTTATTGCTTAAAACACATTTAGAAAATGTATAAGTACTGTAGCTTTGGCACAGAACTTTAAGTAGAAACCTTTAAAAAAAAAAAAAAAGACAACTTGTTTTTGCCATGCATTTGTCTTAAATGTCTAAAGTGGAATGCTTGACTTCTAAGGCTTTATAGAGACTTATCTTACCAGATTTTTGCACCATTTCCAGCTCTTCAAGGAAACGTGTTAGGAATGTATCATCGTGAAAGTAAAGGGTGTCAATTTTCCCTCTAGCAATAAGAGAGTTTTTAAAAAATGTTTGCTAGAAGGAACAAATGCCAAGTCAAAAAAAAAAAGGAAAAAAAAAAAAAGAAAAAAGAAAATAGAAGTCCATTCAGTGTAAGACTCTCGTTTGGTTCCCACTGGTTGGAATCGCTCACATACCATGGCGATAGGGCCATAAACAAACATACACACATATTTCAGGGTAGGTTTAAGGGGAGGACCTGACTTTTTGGCTGTACTCAAGACATATTTCTTATTGGGGTGTTTTGCTTACATAAAGATTAAGTCCCAAATCTGGTATTTAAACTTGACAGTCAAAGACTGCTTTCAGTCAGGAGATACTGTATCTGGGAAGATGCTCAAAATCTCACAGTCCTAAAAATTTGCTTTAACTTGTCAGTAGTATTTGATTAGTTCAACCATCACTGCCAGTTGATATCATATATCTTAGATACAGACACAAATATGCCCAGAAAATCCCATAAAATTTATGCTAATGCTCGGGTTGAAAATAAAGACCACATTAAGGAGAAAAAAAAAAAAATAGTGCAGGCACCTGTCAAGGTTATTAGTTAAAAAAAAAAAAAAATCGATATACAATACATTTCTGAAGGGAATGTGTGTTTTACTGTGTTATTCTTAGTAAATCAGCCTTTTCAGCATTGCTTTTGTTTAATAGAACTAGTAATGTCTGCACTAGAATCAAACAGGAGTTCATCTTTGTTTTAAATACACCATCATAAAGTTATCCTTGCCTAAAAAAGAAGTAAATAAAATATTTATTTTAAGATCAGCTAAAGACAAAAAGAATTAAAGAAAAGAAAAGAAAAAAAAGAGAAAATACAAAAATCAACCAAAGCAGTATAGAAAGTATAGTTTTGAAAGAAAATGGATGTGGTTCCTCTAACCACATGCCCTGCCTGGTATGTAGACTAGGTTCTGGAAGCAAAATGCAGTTATCTGAGAGCCCTGATCGTTCATTTTTCTTTTAAGATCACTTATACAAGTATTTTCCCTGCCATACACTCTCTTTTGCCTATGTTGCCATTAAATCCCAGAGCACCACGTTCAGAAGCCCTACTTCACTTAGGATCTCTTCCTCCAAGTGGTCTCATGGATGAGACCCAAAATCATGTGGAAAGCAATTCCTGTAAAGACAACTAGCAGTGCCTGGTCTGTTGTGGAGGTTGTGTCTGTAAAAGACTTTCTAAAGACTTTGGTGAGACATGTCTCATTGGGTGTCAGACTGAAATCTCTTTGCTAACAGATTTTTCATCATTTCCTTGCTCCTGGCTGCATATAGCAGCATTGGGATGGCAGTGCCCTGCACAGCCAGCACTTGGACATGACAGCTGCCACCTCTGTCCTTCTCTATAAACCTTTGGCTTTTGATGTCCAGCCAACCCCCAAATCCAGAGTGTGAAACCTCAGAGCACTGGAGTCTCCATCCCAAGGGCCAGCGCATATGCCAAGGGAGATCTCCCCTGGATAAAGTCCTGCACTGCACTGTTAAATAATGCATACAATTTCCCCTGACACTGAGATCTTTTCAGAAGAGTTGGACGTGCACAATGCATTCCCAGTTGACTGAAAGCTTGAGAAACTTGCTGGGTTTACTTTTCCCAGTAGGCAGTTTTCTAGTGAGAACTCCAAAGGGGTCCTATGGTTGAAAAAGGAAAAGAAAATTCCTCTTCCACAAGCTAGGAAAAGACAAACTGTCCAGTCATTCCTCTTCTTTCTCAAATTTGAAGACACCTTTATTTATTTATTTATCTATCTATCTATTTATTTATTTTAATGGTTATAATCTTCAGAAATAAGTTGCTGGTCATTCATGGGTCTTGAATAGAAAAAAAAGAGAAAAAAAAAGATTTAAGCAGAAATTCCTCACTTGCATCAGCACACTCCTTCATCACTAAATGCCTTCGTGAGAGTTTTTCTCATGGCTAACAGCACAAATATTAATTTATACATAAAAAGGTATGTGTTTAATAGCTGTACCTGTATTTTACAAGCCACAGCTTCTCTAATCACTAGTTCAAAGACACATCAGCCGCCTTGCCCTTCCAGGAATGACAGGACCTCAAAACTACTGCAAAATATTGCTATATCAGGACAAACAACTTCTTTCAAAGTAATCACACTTGATTTAGAGCAGTAATAGAGCACAGAGGTGTCCAGAGACAGCACAGCAGTGGGATGTTGCAAGGTGGGGAAGGTTCTTGCTCATCATATGACAAGAAGCTCATCCCTTGGTGATGCAGCACATGATGCTTGGCTTCCTCCCTTGCCAGTAAATCCCGTCCTGAGATTGCATTTTATATCTACACTCCAAAGTGAGTACGATCCCTTGAACTTTGATTAAATAGTCCAGCAGAAACCTCAACTCACACAAAGCAATACTTTCCTCATCCAGCCAGATTCTTGTGAGTTCTCTCTCAGCTAAAATAGTACTTCTTCCTCTCTCCCTTGCTAGGTCTGGAGGTTCACTGTCTTGCCTGCACGTAGTACATGGTCCTTCACTTCTGAGAGTATTTAAACAAATCAGAG